TTACTTAAGTATTTCCATTTTTGCTACTTTGTTCTTCTACCTCACTACAGAGGTAAATCATGTACTTTTATTTAGTACCTTTAGTTACTTGGCAGATTAGGATGAATAATTATACCTCACAAGCTACCTTACAGCATACAAAGCAGTTACAATGAGCTCCATGGTTACCAGCTTTGATAACACTCAATAATTATAATCAAAACATATCATATATATTATTCTGAAATGGGTCCATCTGCATAATGAGTACTTTTACTTTGGGTACTTTCTGTATATTTTGATGCCAATACTTTTATACTTTTACTTAAGTAACATTTTGAATGCATGACTTTCACTTGTAACAGAGTATTCATACACTCTACTTTTACATAAGTACAAGATCTGAGTACTTCTCCTACCCCCGCATGATAACTAAGCGGTGAAATGGTGTAGAAGCCCAGAAGAGGGGATGCCAAATAAAACCCAGGACGAGCCATAAGTTGATAAAGGTTACGTAAAGAATCAAGTCACCTATGAAGAGAACGGGCTGCTTGGTCTGGTGAGCGAGACGTGCAAATCTCAAATGCCACTATGCTATGGAACAGGTCAGTGTTGAGTTTTCTTTGTGCCACACACAGCACGCCGTAAGTTGCAGAACATATAGTTATAACGAAGCGGTGAAAGGGTGTAGAAGCCCTCTAACCCAGCAGAGCGGATGCCGGTATGAGAAACCCTGGGACAAGCCAAGAGTTGAGAAATGTTACGTAAAGAATCAGGTCACCTATGAAAAGAAGGGGCTGCTTTATCTGGCGAGCGAGACGTGCGATCAGACAGAAGACAAGGGCTTCCCAGACGGGGAGAAGTGAATGCTGTCTCTGAAAAGCCGGGCCTTGTGTTTCGAGGTATGATCGCTGTCCCCTGTGTGTCGTGTGTCCTCGCACTGGCACTGGATCCACGGCACAGGGGGAGGAAACTCTTTTCAGGGGGGGAGGGAGGGATTCGTACTGTTTTAATCTCCGCAGACCGGGGGAGTCGTATTGGAGGCGAGGAGGGGGAGAACGTGGCAGATCTCTCAGACGTGCTTTCTCGAACACCCACGCTTAGTGGAGGGTCCTTGTTCGCCACGTCTCCGCCATTCAACTTTTCAAAAACAAGCGTTTCAAAACAAATGGGATTAGGCTAGGTTTTAAATTCTGATGGGATTTATACGCTCCGCCTCATTTAATAGCAGCTTTAAGATTTACAGGAGGGGCCTCCCTTATGCGCTCTTACACTCGTCATTTCCATAACAATATTATATTTACATCTCATTAATATTTAATTATATTCTTTATACTTTTACATGGCAAACAGATGAGTACGCTGAGTACCCGTCTCAGCGAAAAACCAATTGAAAGAAAGCAGCGTGTATTCCCTTTCATCACCTCATAAACTGCTGCAGTAATTACAATATTACAACGGGAGAAACACGCTCAATGTGCGGAGAGCTGCTACCAGCGGGAAGGGAGGCGAGGCGGCAAAGTGGTTTGCTAAACATTACAATTTAATTCAAAACAGCCCACTGATTCAGACACTCCCAGATTGTTGGGTCACCTACAGTTGACATTAACAAACAGAGATTGGTGTTTTGTTGTGCCACCTGTCACATGAATGAGAATGCGGAGGCTGGAGGAGGAAGAAGGACAAAGGAACACAAAACTCATACATTTGGGAGTGAAGTGAGAGGATGACTGATGGTGATGACAGGCTCTGCTGTTTCAATATTCCTCCCCGCTGACACCTCGTAGACACACACACACACACACACACACACACACACACACACACACACACACACACACACACACACATAGTGAATTCCCTGGACTGCATCCGGTGCAGGACAAACTTAATCCACATGCTGCCATCCCTCAGAAGTCTATTCATGGGTCTCTTTCGGATAACTTTGGGTGAGGTCCGCAACAACAACAACTTGGCTTTTTCTTCTTTCTCAAACAGCTCCGCCTTTCTCGTGTTCACGACGGAGGTTGATAAAAGAAAAATTGCGGGCGTACAGATGACCTCCGGTCACACTGTTTCTGTCTCAGTAAATCAACGCAGAGGCCTGCAGACGGAGGCGCTTTCACTACATTCACTCCGGCTGTCTGAGCCTCTTTTTTAGCCAAGTCCTGTTTTGTGTTAGGGCGAACGCTAACTGATGAAATCTTACATTGTTTTATCTGTGGCCCAGATGAATGACAGACAAATAAACCATGGTTCGCAGAGAACGAAAGAATAAAATCTGAGTCATGCATCCGTTTAAATCACTTTTGATGAATAACTTCTTCAGTTCTGTAGCCAAGACTACAGGCATTCATTTGGCAACTTAAGGAGAAAAGGAAGAAAGATGGCGGCGCACCGCACATTGTACTGTCCATCCTAAAATGGCTGACATCACAGCCTCCTATAACTGCCAAAGACTGGCAAATGCCAGCTCCTGCTGACCAAACCTTTCTTGCATGGGACAGAGAAAGTGGCAGGGGCTCTTTACCCGCTAGCCCCAAGGTCCCCCCCCCCTCACGGTGCTCAAGCGTTTCTTTTGCTTGGAACTGTGCAAACATGCTGTTTTAGTGAGGCTTTGAGCGGTCTGGGCTTCGATACGGCATTGGTCCGGTGACAAAAGCAATACCAAAAGGGATGAAAGACCCACATAAAACTGAACCTGTATAGAACGCCGTCCTTTCTGTAGGAGAAAAATAGGACTCGGCATTTTCTGTGAGGATCATGAGGTATGCCGCGGTCTTGAATGCTTGTTTGTGTTAAAAGAGCGATTTGGAAAATAGATCTGGTTGGTGTTGGATTAGATTTTCTTCTCCTCTGAACTCAAGGAATGTTTTACACTCCATGTCAAGAAAATCTACAAATCATGACCATATGACCTTCCTCTGTATGCTCTGGCAGGGGATTCACTTTGAGCTGTGGGAGGCACACAGAAACACAACATACACAGTGTTGTTCGAAGTAAGAGCACCAAATCCTGAAGAGTACAGTGTTCCAGGTATACGAGGGGCGGCATGTGCCGAGACGCTGTTCTCGCTGAGGGGAGCAGTGGGCAGTCTTGGCCCGCTACATTGTGTCTGTGTATACAAACACTGCGCTGTGGCCATAACGAAAACTGTGAGCTCTGCCTAATTGCAGGGAGAGACGGATGAAAGGCAATATGCCTGGCCTCATTAGAGCAGTTCCGAGAAGGGAGATGGAAGACTGTTCCCAGGGATCCACAAAGGGAATTGACATTCCCCCAGAGTAAGCGTCCTGCCGGAGTGAAATCCTCCACACACTCTCAACTCACCGGGCCCAGAACCCGATCTGCCCGGATCTGCACAGCAAGAGCTCGTTTACCTTTGTATCACACACAACTTTCGGAGAGCAGAAATGTCCCCTGGACTCCACACACACTTTGGAGTCACTCCCCACAGACCGAACACCCACTCTCTCAGGAAAACCTCAAAATGTTACGCAGTCATTTCCATGACCTACATTATATATAACAAGCTTTAATGGATAAATAATTAAAAAACATTCGAAAAATTGCCCATAATTCATGCCTGTCTAGCTTGTATAATCTGGGGTTGTTTCTTGTGTTATGGACAGTGCACTCACAGATCCGCAGGCAACATTAGTCAGCACAGAGGTCCTACCGCTGAGGGCAGAGGGAGACACATGGCATTCAAAGCTGGCACAATATTTACGTACGGGTAGAAAATGTGACCATACTAAGCTGATATTTTAAATACGATGCCTCAAGGATAATCCATAGTTTGCAAAATATCTCCTGAAATCAGCAGCTTTACTGTTCTGTATGTTACTGTGTGTGTGTGTGTGTGTGTGTGTGTGTGTGTGTGTGTGTGTGTGTGTGTGTGTGTGTGTGTGTGTGTGTGTGTGTGTGTGTGTGTACGTGTGTTAGTAGGGCAGCAGCACATGTTGGCAGGAGGAAGAGGAGGAAATGAAAGAAAAAGAGTCCTGTGCATAGAGATACAGGCCTACCTTTTCTGCTCAGGCAAGAGGAAGAAATGTGTAGAGAGAGTGAGAGCGATCAATAGATGGAAATTGATACTTGGCGTGCAGTTTTGAACATCTATGGACTCTTAAATCAGTCGTACCGCCCGCTATAGCACTGCTTTTGGAAGTCTTTCACAACTAAATAAGCACTCACACTCACACAGCCTAGTGGGGGAAATACAGAGCGTTGTGCAATAAAATAAGCAGATACGCCACATTGTATAGCGCAAGGAGGAGCGCACATTCAGCCAGACGGAGGCTCGGTTTGTTGTAACTGTAACAAACTGACGAGTTAACCCGTTTCTCTCCATTCACAAGGCTGTGGGGCAACACACCGCCTCGGAGTGTACTTGCCAAAGGCGATCTGGCACTCTATATAACCTTATGAATATTCCCAAAAAAACCTCCACCCCCCTCCTCCACCTACTGTCGCCATTTTATACATTGGCGACTTCATATAAACTGCCTTGACTACACAGCACCAGATGAAAATGCAATATTCAATAGCGAGGCTTAATTTCAGTAAACAACTTTTAGAGAACGCGCCCTCGCCAACACAGAGAGAGGTATTATTTTTTGGAAGAGTAGATCCTTACCTCAACAGTCGGTGGGAAAAAATTGAATCCGACATGAATATATAAATGAATAATATTGGATTAGCTCCGATCGTTGCGTTTGGAGAAGAAGAGGAGGCGAGCAGGGGGTGGGAGCTCTCCTCAAGTGAACCCGGTGAACTGGCGTGAACCCGTCAGTGACCACGGCAAGGTACATTACATTATATTACCTTTCCACCCTTCAGCCACACTGTATGGAGACGGCAAAACAACTACGGTCGGCGGCGCAGGACGAGGCAGCTCCAAAAAAATTATAGCGAGTGTATTTCCTATGGACACGTGATTCGGAGCGTCATCCAAAATCCAAAAGCCCTTTCATGTAAAATGTTGGAGAGGGGCGGGGAGGAGATGGAGATGTGTGTGCGGGCGTGTGTGTAGAAGGAGAGGAGGGGGGTACGTATACTGAGCCCCGTGCACATTTGGGTATGTCGTTATAGGGGTAAGGCAGAGCTCTAGCTGCAGATTGGGTTATACATAGCTACAATGGCGCCGCGGAGCAGGCAGAATAGATATAATGTATTGTGTACATTTGGAATTGACAGGAGTTTCGTGATCGGCCGTTTCAGTGAGCTTCATCATCCAAAAGCTCCTCTTAATTAGGTCACATGTTGTTGTTTTTCAAAATACTGCTGACGTTTTGAGAAAAGAAAAACACACTTGATAGGCTACTCTGAATATTAATCGGTGTGGGAATTGCCATTTAAAGCACATGCCTATTAGCCCAAAGGCTTTAAATAGACTTTTACGCACACGCGTAAAAGTGCTAGATTACGCAGGTAATTGAAACCTAGGGGTTCATATCCACTATCGTAGTTGAATATGAGAATAATCTTTCCTCGAAATCAAATGACCAATGTTAGTTATGTCTCGTTTTGAAGAATAGGGGCTACTCGGCTGTGACCCTCGTGACCTTGTTGGCCTTCTATGCATTCTGTGCCGGGCCGGGGAAAGCGCAGAGACCCTAAACCAGTTTCCAGTAAGGGTCTAATGAAACATTTAATTAAAGGTGGTAAAATATTTTTAAAACATAGCCTATGGAGAAAACATATCAACAAGTCATTACAAAAAGAGAAGTGGACTAGTGCAGCAATAGTACACAAAAAGCATTAAGTGTGATACTTAAAAGTAGAGTACTACAGGTTTTTGTAGAGAAGCCTATTAGAGATATCATTGTAATATTATGGATATATAAATATGTGTATATGTGTACACTTGGCTACCTGTATGTGTAACAGGTAGCGGGACTACACAGTAAGGAGCCTACAGCATGAGCAACACAATTACAACATCCTTAATGCCTTGTGTAAATATGGACTTATAGGGCTACTACTACAGGCCTCCATTATTAAGGAAACGCGGATTTGCTCTTCCCTCCCAGTTTGTCCTGACTGGGTTCATACGTTGCCTGTAGCTGTGTACAGTCAGGAGAAACAAAGATTTCTAACAGGAAGATGGATCACTCTATGGTAAAAAAACAAAGTGAGATGTGCAGTATGCATTAACTGGTATCGTACTAGTAGGAATAAAATAAGCGTTGCTCAAATATAAGATTTTCTTGATACAGTTATACATTTGTGGCACATATATGCTTGTACTATAGAGTTATGGAAAGGATACCAGCAGTCATGGTTCAATACGATATATATTTGTACTTATTAGCACACAGTTTCTGTATTATATTGTGTACTTTGGGGGAGTGTGTAAGTTCCTTGGCACTATCTCCTGTATTGCAGACTTCTGTCCCCGTAGGCTTATGCACAGCAGGACATTATCCTTTTTTAATACTGATTAGAGGTTGCCGAGATGGAATGTTTCCTCTTGATTATCTTCTAATTGTAAAAAATAACATGCTGGTTTGTTTAGGATTTAAGGTGTATAATCATTGTCTACATTTGAATTTTCTGGAAGACCATTTTTTGGAATTCTATTTAGCTGTTCAGGTTTAGATGAAGGCGAGGCTGTTTGCAAATCACAGACCATTTTTATTGTAGTTTGTAGTCAATTCAAGTTCATGCACAGCATCCACCACAAGTAGATACTGTTGCTATGGTTACCCAGTGTGTGCACCTTACGCACTGGTTTACAAAGGAAGTATGTCATCTTAACGTGCACTTTCTCTGACCTTGACATAGCTGAATATTCACAAGAAAACTCTGTAAAGATGTATTGACTTCGAGTGCTGCTCTGTTCCCACTTTCAGTTTGCCCTTAAAGCTTTATTACATTTTTGTATTTGGTTATGTTAACATTTGTATTATGCTTGAGGGAGCCTCTGATATTTTAGTTTCTATCGACTGCTTTTCTGGTCTTGGTGTGCTTTTGATAATAAAAATCTCCCTTACTATGATAGATGACAGCCAAGTGAGCAGATGGGAAATCTACTTTCTATGTGTCTAATTTCATCTAAAGTGAAAGAGAAACCAAGTTTGATATATTTTTAAGTGTAATACTCTGTTACACGTACAGTCATGCATTACAATGTTAGTCAAGTAAAAGTACAAAAGTATTAGCATCAAAATATACTTAAAGTACCAAAAGTACTTATTCTGCAGATTGGCCCATTTCAGAATAATATATATGATATGTTTTGATTATAATGTTTTGATACGTTAAAGTGTTATCAAAGCTGGAAACCCGCAGCTAGTTTTATTTACTGCAAGGTAGCTTGTGAATTGACTCCCGGTGTAACTTAAGTCTGATTTAAGTGTTGATTATATTTGACATCATTAATTAAAATCTGTAAAGTAACTAAAGGTATTGAATAAATGTTATTGATTGAAAGTACACGATATACTTCTGAATTGTAGTCGGTATAAGTACAAAGTATAATAAAAAGTCTCTCAAAATTGAACTTAAGTACACTACTTGAGTAAATCTACTTAGTTACTTTACACCACTGATATTTAAGTGAACGAGAAACCATTGGCAGAAAGTGGGTGTTTTTAAATGTTCTTTTTTGTTTGTTTTAAACTGAGAATAGAGGATCCTGGTCCCAAGGAATCACAGAGTTCATGGTGCCTGGATAAAGCGTCAGAGTGAAGCCTCCCTGCTCCCAGCTGCTATGTGCTCTGTAACCGGATCAGGGCAGAGAGAGGGCCGGACCGGAGGATTGTTTGCCTCCAAACGAGCCAATGAGACCGGCTTTACATTAGACTGACAGCCCGCCTCATCGAGCCGGGAGACGCCAATCTGGTCTGACAACTTTCAGACAGCCAATACGAAGAGGAACGGAGGGAAAAAATCCAAATACGAATCTGGCTTCCTGTAAGGTCGAAAACGTTACCTGTCACCTCACCTGAGCGTTTGGATGAGAAAGGGGAACAAATCGTGGCGATGTCGCAGTGCCTTGAAGACTCACCTCTCCGGTTAGGGACCAAACTCACCGGGGGAGACGAGCTGAAGCTGCAGGAGCTGTACAACGAGAGGCACCGGCTGGCTCTGGAGGAGCTGCTGTCGGGAGGAATAGAAAACTTTCTGGAGTTCCTCAGGAAAGAGAGGATCCCCAACTTTCTGTCGGACGATGAGATGCAGCAGATCCGCAGCGCTGCTGTTCCTCCTCCGCGGTGTGTGTCTTTCCTCGGGGAGGAGCAGGGCCCGGAGCTCAGCAGCTCGCTGGACTGCTCCTCCCTCACGTATTTCCCCGAGGTGTCGGACGTGGAGCCGCCGGTGCTGGAGCTCGGCTGGCCGGGCTTCACCGCAGGCTCGTACCGGGGAGTGACGCGGGCCGTGGCGCACTTCCAGCCGAGCTACGGGGAGAGCATCTACAGCTGCAAGGAGGCTGCCAGGCGGATGATCCAGAGTGCCAGAGAGGTATGCACAAACACCTATTAAAACCACAGCTGCAGCTTTAAAAAAAAAATCGAACTACCACGTTTAAATCTTAATTTCCTTTAGAAATATCTGAAGGAACATGCTGTGCAGTATGTAGTTATAGTCATGTAGTCATGTACTTTCTACTCCCCCATACTTTTACAATTACTTTTCCAAATAGTTCCTGATAGTATTAGGCCTGATTGCTACAGTAATGGCAGCATGGTATGTGGTATCATCCTAAAACCGGGTTATTGTTTTAATATTTGTCAAATTCAAACATCAAATGCCCCCCTGTCACAAAATTAGTGAGTGTATAGTCACTTATTAAACTTTTTTGGAGGGAAAATCTAGTTTCTGTATCTTCATTGTGTTGGAAAAGTGCCAGAGGTTTGTAAAAACCGTATTAAAAGCACAGCTGCCCCCTTTAAAAAATACTCTCGATTTGGCAACTGATTATATCATTTCCTTTAGAAATGTCCTGCAGCTACATGAGGGAACATGGTGTGCTATATCCAGTTTTAGTAATTTTTGTATTTTCTACTCATCCATATTTATAATAATAACATTACAATAGTTCCTAATGGTATTTATTAGGCTTAATTGCTTTTTGGTATCATCCTAAAAGAGGGTTATTTTTTAAAATATGTGTCAAATTCAAGTATAAAATGCCCCCCGCTGTCACAAAATCAGTGAGTGTATACAGTCACTTTTTGAACTTGTTTTGGAGGGAAAATCAAGTTTCTACATCTTCTTTGTGTCATCCTTAAAATACATGCCAGATTGTCCCTACGGAGTTCCCTTGATCAGTGAGTAGATTTGGAAGGTTTTTGATGTGTTGATCAGACAGAAAGTAATGACCAAAAGGATCTAACAAACACAAAAAACTGGCCATGAATATTCATGGTGACGCTTCCTGATGTGAGCTGTCAGATCGGCATTTTTTTTTAAAAGAAACATTCCTTTATGGAGGGAGTGTGTGCAGCACCTCGGGCCTGTGGAGGGCCTGCGTGCCAGATGTGCCTCGACTTGCTATGCTCCCTTCTATCAAAGTTTGCATTCCCTCTTCATTCAGAGCAATTAAAATGCTGGTTTCCCTCTCTGGGTTGTGGCTGAAAGGATGGTGTGCAGGCAGACAGTTTAAACCAGGGCTGCAGCTAGAGAATACTTTTCATTGTAGAGAAATTGGACGATTATTTTTACAAATATTCCATTGGTTTGGATTATAAAATGTCTGAAAAAGGGGAAAATGTAAGTTTTCCAAAGCCCAAGTTGACCTCCTAAAATGTATTTCTGTCACACACAACTCTTACGTCTACAAAGTCATAGAGGAGTAAAGAAACTGGAAAATATTCACATTTGAGAAGCTAGAATCAGATTTTTGTACCTTTTTTAAAAATATACTCAAACATTAAATGATGATCAGAAAGAAAGGTTGGCAATTAAAATGAATAGTTGACAACTAATCGATTTACTTTTGCAGCTTAAGTTGAAACCTTAATGCAAATATTCTCGTCCAGGTTTACGGTTGGCTGTCCTTTTGTAATGTCAAACCGCTCACGGCACACACAGGATTTGTTATACGAGGCAGCTGACGAGCAACAGCCTGCTCCTGTATTCCACAAAGATGTGACTATGTTTTTTTACACATTTCCCTAAAAATAAGCAGGGAACTCCTGACTAAGCTGCATGTGGAGAACACACAGTTTAAAGAAATGAATCTGAGCTATGTAAACAACCCATGTCTAATCCTCGATACGTCACACAACCTTTACCACAGCGTGTGAAATTCCTCTCGTCCTTGCTAAAAAAACAGAGAAATCTCCATTTGAACCTGAGCTTGTGGAGAACAGAGGCTCGTCTCCAGCATGAAAGTATAACTTGTTTGCTGACCAAGCGTTACCGCCAATCGCCATGGTAACAAACCACAGTCAATAGAAAGCTCATCAGCACAAACATTAGGTGACAGATTCACGGCTCTGTTTGAATAAGGCCCTGATCATTTGATAATAATAAAACACAGTCATGTGCTGAGTGTGGCGCTGCTGCAGCTCCTAAAAGGAATTCTATTATATTACCTCTGTAATTTTCCACTGCAGGTGATTGCCATAGTTACAGACTCCCTGACAGACCTGGATATCTTTAAGGATCTTCAGGAGGCTTGCACCCTACGCAAAGTCCCCGTCTACATCCTGCTCGACCAATCGTGTGCTCCGGCTTTCCTCAAGATGTGCAGAAATGTCAACGTCCGCCTGGACGACCTTCGGGTATGTGGTTGGTTCAGTTGAGCTGGGTGTGGCTCTGTGTGTACAATAATAACTTCAAGATGGCATCAAATTAAAATGTGCCCTGTAATGGACGTCCTCTTCAGATGGCTTTAAAAAAATCCACCCAAAATGAAATGGGCTTTTATTAAATACGCTCCCCAACTGTGTTAAACCCTATCAGCAAACATCAGAGGCAGAATCTTTCTGCTCTTTATCTTTGTTTCTATTTATTTATTTTAGTTTTATTAACGATATCCACTTTTTTATTATTCCATTTTTTGTATTATTCTTATTTTTAAAATAATTTTTTTATTTATTTTATAGGTCTTTATAGAGAATAAGAATAATCTTTATTGTTATTTATTACAGAGAAGGATCATTATTTATTTTATTATCTCTCGTGTCCCTTGAATTGTTATAATATGCTTTTTATGTGTGAATGAGGTTTAAGCGTTTGACCTGCAGTTACTTTCTTGTTCTCTTTTTTTATTTGTGATGCCATGTTGTTAAAGCACTTTGAGCTGCAACTAGTTTAAAAAAAATACTATACAAATAAATCTTCAATATTTGATATGTCTGGTCGTGTCTGCACTAATTTCTCCCTTTGTTTCTTCCTCTTTTTTCCCCTTTATAATCCGTTCAGCAAATGAAAGTGCGAACTATAACTGGTACAACTTATTACATGAGATCAGGAGCCAGGATTACCGGGGAGGTTCACGAGAGGTTCATGCTGATCGACGGCAACAGAGTGGCCACAGGCTCCTACAGGTAACGCCTGCTAAGCATTTTATCTGAAGGCAAATGCTTAAGCTGTGTATTATGCAGCGAGGATATGCCTAAAACCTCCACATCTAACAGAGAGTAATGTAATACCATTTTTCTGTGAAACTTTCTATGACGCCCCAGGCTATATTGTATTTTAAACATACTTATGATGCATTATATAATCTGCTTATAGAGCTGTTTAATACAAATCTGAAATTAGCATTAAGGAATGTTCATAATACTTATTATTATGGATTCATGGAACGCAAACAAACCAAATTCGATATCAGAAAAGTCTTCCGTTCACAGTTCACACGGTATCAGCTCAAGAAACTTGTCCGTTAACACGAGACCGCTAGAGAAGCTGTAGTACATATGCCGGGCCTGTAAGTGGCGCTGTACTTCCGCCACAAAATACACCAAAAGCAGCGAAGAAGACCCCCCGAGCATGGTTGCCATGGTTGCCCTTCTGTTTATTCTCCGTGGTGGATTTAGCAACATGTAGTTCATGTAGTTCTCCATGTCCACTTGTTGCTGATGGTTGTGGTAGAGGAGCTGTAGATTGTGCACTAACATCTGTAGCATGGTCAGGTAGCTACTGACAGTAGGCTAGTTGACCATGGCTACAGCATGAGCAGCAGTCGGCGAGGCGTGGGGCCGAGGCCAGCTATGGGCTTCATGCGATGTTATTCAGGAAATGATCATATAGGACGTACACACGGAGCCGTTGGGCTCCCGCAGAGCAGGTGTTGGCGGTGTCCGCAGCATCTATCCACCTTGGGACCCGTTATCGGCTTTGCGGACGGGCGTCCGTTTCCGCAGGTTCCGTTACGGCCTCGTGGGTGAACGAAGGGGCTATACCAGAAAGAGAAAAGTAGCAGATACAACCGTGCTTGTTCCCAGCTGTAAACAGCGCTCAATGGAGATGGACCATCTGTTTCACTGTTTATCTGAAATGGACGAATAATTTTTAGATTTAATGAAAATATAAGAGTTAGTTTCAGCCCTCATTCCATAATGGCTTTATAAAAGTGATCGTTAACACATTATGAAGCATTTTCTATATTGATTTGTTTTTTTATTATGTATGTCTATGCTATCTATATATGCTCTGATTATCTGTGAATTTATATCCCTATAGTGGGATCTCAATATTATACAAGCTTGGTATAGACACCTAAATTAAGTGAAAACTAACACCAGCTATTGATGATAATTGACCTTATAAGGTGATGATAAAAGCTTCTGTAATGTGGTTATGATAAGGCTGCTGTATTGCTTAGAATATTGTAAACGGTGGGCTTGAACCCTTAATTATACACGGGCTATAAGCCAGAGTACAACACCAGCGTTCCTTGCAGCTGGCTCAAAAGCAAGTCTTTAAACAAAGGGCATTAGATTTAGTACAAAGATGTCTTCCAATCAATATTAGGTTCGAGAGGATAACAATTTTGATATTTAGTATTTCGTTTAGTTTTTATTTAAAATTTATAATTAATATACTAATAAGTTGTAAGAATAAACTCTTATTCTAAAAGCCTTGAATTATGCATTATTGCAAATCCAAAGATTGGATTAAATTTCGTAAACAATTTATTCCAAATGTTATTTAAAAAGTAAATACTAACTATTAAGCTATAAAGGAAGCCTTTTTAAAAGCATTACTACAGTATGTTTTATATGAGCGAACTGGAAAGTTTAACCAAATTTATGGTTGATTATTTTGCTGTACTTCTGTAATGCATTTCACTGTTTCTAAATCCCGCTCTGTGCAGCGTACAACTGGACCCGACGCAAACTGAACCAGCAGCAACATTGATCGAAGCTCTCTGGGCCAGGTCCACAGAGAAAATTTGACGAGGTAGTTGTCGGGATGCTCTGTACGCTCTCAGTCTCCACCCTGTGGAACACTCGAGGACCTCCGGAGTGTCCGAACAGCGCATCTTCGAGCAGTGCTCCTCATCCAAAACACCTGGGGCCTCCTCCCCACACTGGCCAGGAGAGAGGCCTCTTGAGTCAGCGCGTCTCACCAGCACCCCCGGCGCAGAGCCTTAAAGTCTCTACTGTCCAGCCCCCGTGTGAAGCCTGCGCACTCCAGATAAGCCACAAAAGCAACCGCGCGTGGTCCAAGAACCTCCACTTTAGATGAGGCTGGACGGAGGCCGGGCGCACGCAGGCAGGAATCCTGGCAGGAAGCACGCGACTCGCGGCGTTTATCCGCAAGATCGCTGACAGAGAAGAGCAGCGAGGCTGCCATCACCTGCCCACGGCCTCACTGCAGACCCGGGCCTGTCGGTGACGACACGCGACACGCAGACTGGGCGCACAACAGATCACCCTCAAACCCAGGCTGGCCTCTCCGTCCCTCTCCCAGGCCCGAGCTCAGCAGCAGGACGGCTCCTTAAAAAGGCATCTGCTTCAACCAGCTGCAAGGGAGGAGCCGCCAGCACCAGTACTCCCAACATCCGCCTGCAAGCTGGAGCACATGGGTGACCGCCCTGGTCCCAGAGGCGCGAGCTGGCGGACGTCACCAACATGACTCAGGGGCCTGGCGAGCTCCACAGCCAGCAGAGGGGAACACAAGACAGCGAGCAGGAACCAAACCCAGAATGCTTGTGAAGTGCGGGCATGGGCACGTGGCCAGAAGTGCCCGATGGTGTGCTCTAGTTTTCCTCTGGGATTCTCAGAAGGAGGGTGGCGGGGGGAGAGACCCCGGGCTGCGCAAGGTTTCTGGAGGATCTCTGCTTTTAAAGTAAAACGGCTTTCTGCGTTTTATGCAGTAGGTTATTCTTCTTCTTTTTGTAGAGGTTTTTTAAAGGACTTATTGCACGGACGTGTGGCTCAGTGGATAGTGCCTTGGTTTGGGATCAGGGTGCGCACAGGGTTCAAACCCACTAGCAGTCAGCATGTCGTTGATGTCCCTGAGACACTTCACCCCAAATTGCTCCTGTGGGGATGTCCACAGTAATTGACGGTATGTTAAGTCGCTTTGGATAAAAGTGTCTAACCATGTTAATGTCCATATTGCACTGTTGCAGTGTAGACTATGCAAAGCAAAGGACTTCTCTAACAATAAAACATGATATATAGCAAGACAAACAACAAATCCAAATAAAAATAGTGCAAGAGGAATATTGCAAGACTAGTTTGCAAGTAATGCAGGAGAAGGTTAACTAAATTGAACTAAAATCAGAATAAGAAAAAAATAGATGATAAAATGAAAGCTATAGTCTGCTTTGCTCACTTTTTGTCCTTTTCATTTTGTGTCCTTCCACCGTTCGTCTAAAGCTTTATTTGTGTAACGCAGAACTGTAACCAAAGACACAGGTGCAATAATACTCTTTTAACATCTCAGTTTATATGTACAAATCATTCACATCAGCACAGGCGATGTAACACTGGCATAATATCTGCTGTAGTTTGAGTGAAGAGTGGCTGTTTGGTGTGGTTTTATCACAGTTGGCTGCTGTTTCTGCTTTCCTGAACAACATTCCTGGGGCTGCTGGCTCGTCGCTGGCCTGTTGCTAATAAACAAAGTAGAGTTTTTGCTAGATGAGTGTTTATTGTTCTTTCTAACATTCTACTCATCCACCTAGTTTAGCTGCAATTAAATCATTTTGAGGACTATCTCACAGCGGAAATGTGTTTAGAAGTTCGCCGGAGCACGGTGACAGCCCAGCGAGCCTCGGTGCTTTATCCGCCGCATGCCTTCATGCAATCTAGCTGAGAGAACGACATCGTGATACTGGCTCCCTCTGCTGATGATTCAGCCACATCACTGTTCCTGTCCAGGGTGGGTTTGTGAGAGGAGGTCTCCATCACAGATTTACAAACTAAGAGATGTAGGATGCGTAATGACGTTGCTATTCCGTACAACTGCTTCGTGTTTACACACAAGTGGATTTAAAAACCACCTGGATACTGTTATATTAGGTGCTTTTATTGTTCTTACATCTCAACAGCAGATTCTGTGGTCCAATAGAGTGGCGAAGTCAGCGCCATATACTTTCCGGTGCCGGAGAGGGCGACAGTCCCTCCCCTTCCCGGTGGGTCTCATGGGGACCTTATTTCGGAAAAAGTTTTTATTGAAGTTCAATGGGAAGAGAAAGATTATCTTTTGAATTCCCGTCTTGAATGTGCCAGCGAATTACTACACTCTGGGGTCTGCACAATAATTTGTATTTTGTCTGAATGTGCCAGTGCTTAGGGAGGACAGAATATCTGAAACTAATTATTTATTCTATTTGAATATTGATTATGTGTAATGTTATTGTTGTATGGAGAAAACCAGCTCGAGGTGCGCTTAGGTTGTTTAGCAACTGTATTTGTCTGTTTTTCCTACAGAGCCCCTCCTCCAAACGATTGCGACCAGACCTATATGAATGGCGTATGATCATATTGTGTTGTGCACGAGATGGAAGGCTGTCAGGCAGGTAGGCCATCCAGTTACTGTTAGCTGGCCGGATCAGATGATTGGTCGCGTGCTTTTACAGGCACCACGGCTTCCACTGAGAAATGGTTTTTTGTATATATTTTATTGTCAAAGCATTTAATGTATTCATTGCTATCGGAGAGCATTCAATGGACAATATAACAAAAGGCTGTTCTGAAGCGGAATACCTACCGCCAACTTTAAGTTCAGGGAAAACACAAGAGAAATCAACTACAATGTTTCAAAAATGGACAATTAACTCTTAATATACGCGTTTGGCAATATCAGTTAAAGAATAACACAATTCAGTTATTTTTTCCAAATCGTGCTCAGCACTATTATCACATGCTATATATATTTGGAGTGATGTGATTTTAGATGGCATACACTCGCTATTTTTTAATGAAGCATGTGATGGTTGTGAGAGGCATGCTAAAGCTGTTTTGGTTATATTGCATAATAATCTACTTGAGGTGATTCTGTTTCCTGGTTCTCCAGTGTGCAGCCATGTGCCACTAAGCCCTGGCACAAGCTGTGTTTACTTCATATCTCACTCTTCAGCACAAAGGTCCTACTGTAGATGGTGAAACACGTTGTGCGCCTGGTGGGACGTGTGCTGCTGAATGACTCGAGTTATAAATGTATAGGCTTTATTGTGACTAATGTTAACTGTATCGAGGAGACTAAGGGTAACTTTAATATCGAGAGTGTACAGGTAGCTTTATTAGCAGAGCAGCAGACCTGTGATTGTTGGTTCCAGTATGTGACGCTAGTAGCAGGGATCAAACGGTGAATTGAAGAAGATGGTGGTTGAAGTTGGTCGACTTTAAAACGTGATCCTCCCTCGATTTGATTATCTTATTGCTTCGAGAGAACAAGTTCTTATTAGTAAATGTATTTTTGCCAGTCCTAGTAGTTTTAAAACTAAGGGCATCTACACTTTTACCCCACATTCAAAGTATCACAGATAATGATTTTGGGAGGTGTCTTGCCCATGGACACAACGACATGCTGACTGCAGTGGGGTTTGAACCTGTGCTCCCGCTGATTCCGACACCAACGCCTAATCCCGACTGCACCACACCACCCTCGCCCAGCTACTAACATTAGAAATACTTCCATTATTACAGACTTTATTCTTTCATTTACACAATATTTGTTATGTTTGTATTTTGTAATGTTGTGCTTATATTTAATTAGATATCAGAAATCAAGTCGGGCCATGTATTTTTTGTTGTTTAGCTGGAACAAAGGGCTTTTTGTGTTTGCTAAGACTTGGGTTGAATAAGATAACGGTATTACATTACCTTAAACAACTGTTAAGTTCAAGTCACATTTGAGGTGTTGATTCTTGTATATATACAGTCTATGTGACTTTGTACTTGGAAGTTTCAATTCATGACAGCTTCTGGCTAGACCACACACAATGATATATCAAGTTTTAAAATAGTTGGAAACATTTTGCGGAATAATGTAAGTCACAAGCTTCGAAACAAGGTATTATATAAACAATAAGTTTTTTTTTTCTAGTTTGGTTTTTCTACGACCAAATGAATATACTTCCTATATTTTGACAACAATATATGTCAATGTATAGTTTTGCTTAGAGCGCACAAGGGGCTACCACTCATAAATCTGGGTACTATCACAGCATGCTGATTGGACCTTGAACAAATAATCTTCTATAACAGCTGCAGTTTGAAGGAATAGTCAAGATGCACACATTTTATTAAGCTGTATAATGGTGCTTACTCAGAGTACGCGTATTCGCTCCCAGAGGGACATTTACATCTTGTTACCAGAAGTACAAGAGCCAAAGATAGGCTTGAATTTTCATTAAGAACGCATGCCTACAATAATGTTTATAAGCATAAAAGGTAAGAACTAATTTAGAGCACAATCGAGTAACAGTTTTTGAGACAATAGCAGCCAAGAGTGAAAGTGATTAAAGGTGGAAGTATACCAGGTTGTATCTGCTACAACGCAGGCTATACGTAGATGGCTACACAATATACCATTACAATGGAGCTCATCTTGTGTTAGTTTGCGTTCTTCGACCTTTATGCTGCGGTGTTACTGATGCTGAATAGGTTAGCCTGAAATAACCTGAAGGTATTTCACCTACTCATGGTTTATAGCACCATAATTCTGTTTACCGCAGTCCACATTATTTACTATATTATTACAATAGTAGGTACTGTATCCCACTGTACAGATTTCATTTTAGCATTCGAGTTTTATACTTATGCTATTGTAACATGTTCCTCACGGATTTACAGGAATCCTGCATTCGACTTGCACCACTTTTTAATCGTTTATGGAGGACAATGCACAGTGTATGGAACACTTAAAACCATTAAAATGTTCAAAGCGTAACAGTGCCATTTAGCTTTGAGCTCATTTCCCATCGCGCAGTCCCTCACATAAAACATTTTAAGAAGGTTTACATTTAGAAACATAGACAAAACAAATACTATGATATGCAAAAGTTCAAAAGAGCAGTGGCAGGCATACACAAGTATTCTGGTCTCTTGCACGTTTCACTTCGCTTATTGTCTGTTTATGTGTTAGGGGTATATTGTACGTCACACTTTTGGAGGAGCTAGATTTAACACTTGCCCATACAAGCTGGCTGCTTATGAAAAGACAGCCTTATATCTACTTGGAATATAACCTTCCTGGTATTTGTTTTAAAGGAGAAATTTACAAAATGCTCATAGGAAATGAACTGAGATTGTAACCAACTAAAGCGATAAATAAAAAAATTTGCTCAGTTACTCTATCTGTGCTGGCAACACCAGTGTAGTCTCAGTGTTTCTTTACAAAGGGATGCCGCTTTGGTTACCATATAGCGCAGACTGGTAGACAATCGGCACTGAGATTTCCTTATACTGCTACTGATACACGGCAATAAAGGATGGGCCTGCAACCGCAGCAGGCCGCCTCTCCTGCGTGCAAACACATCACCAGCCTCTGCAGTTCATTATGTGAATATGGTGCAACCTAAAGGATAATTGATTCCACAAGTATAAGGAGGGGTGTTAAGTTGTGATGAGATACGGTATGCTTTTAATTGACCTTGCTGCGCAAAGCAACCAGCACGTTCTGTAATGAAGGAAGCAGTGGGGGATAAAACACAACCCGGTGGGTTTTGAGCCAGGCTGGCAGGAGAAACCCTGTGTTAGCTCTGACCGCCAACTGCACCTTTACCCTCACTGTGTCAACCAGATAAGAGCTTCCATACTCACTTAGCGTGAGGACAATAAAAAAACATATCTGGACATACTAAGTCTCTGTCAAATTATTTGATTGTTTGTGACCCTGGTTGAAAGTTAATATTGTATTTGGTTTAGCTTTAACTGTCTAATACTTTGTTGGGGATCCATACATGTTTAATAATCATAGAAGTCACAAAAAACATTAAGCAACGTATTAAGACATATATTTTATACAAACATCGTGCGAACTAGATGTTTACTAAACATTACATTTTTCATTAGGTCTCTTCAAATATTTCAGTTGAAGGAAATGTTGAAGTTACTGTAATATCATCTACTTCTAAGATGACATTTGTAACTTGGAGAGATTATATATTAACAACTGTCTATATGCTCTGCTCCTGTATGGAGTAATATCAATGAAATGATTGCGTAGGTGTCAAAATCCGATGTACTCTGGGGCGAGATTCGACTATGTGGGCCTTTGATTAACAAGCGCAACAACAAACATTCAAACTAAGATTAAACAGTCATCCCATTTGTCGTAAATAGAACCGCAACTACCGGAGTTCATAGTACCAATATCATTTTTTGACATACGATGTAACGAAACACACGTCTCACTGGTACGAAGGAGTGAATGCTGAAAGATGCCAAAAGAGAATTTTTATTTCCTTATCAAAATGTTTTATTTATGTATTTAAGTGTTGCGCATTTTAGAAACTTATCCAATAAGTATTTCGATAGTCAAGGGATTAACTAACATATGACCTTGCTGTAATTTCTGAGTTGTGTTTTAATGACTACAACAGCCATGTAAATTGTACTCAGTTACTGATTACACACAAGACAATCTGACTTCAGCACTAGCGGCACTCACCACCAGGTATGGGAGCTCTTCTAGCTAACCATTTCACTGTTCCTGGCATTTTATTTACTTCCTTGTTATAATGAACGTCGAGTAATACCCTCTTGAAATGTACTATCTTAGAATAAAAACAGCCAACCTATCTGTCCTTATCATCACAAGTGATGCTTAAGGATGCACGAGTAAATACAGTATTTAGTACTATTTGTTATCTACAATTTTGTTTCTGAATTATTTAATCTGTGAAATTTCATTTTGTACTCTTGCCGAGAACTCAATATCGATAGCATGGAGACAAACAGCCGGCCGCGTTCCCTTGTTTTTTTAGTTTCACCTGATATGTCTCTCTTCAGGATCACTGTGATCCCCAGAGATGTAGTAGGTGGAACCTTCTCCTGCTGCATGCTGCTTTTGAGTAAAACCTTGTGGATGTTCAGCATGTCTGGGCGAGAAGGTGTAACGTTATATCCTCTTCCAGCAATATTGGGTTATACGTCCTAATGCAGTTAGTCTAGCGTGAGGAGTCATGCNATAAATACAGGAATACATGAATAAATACGGAAATAAATAAATACAGGAATTTATTTATTTATTTCCTCATTTATTTATTCATGTATTCGCTCATTTATTTATTCCTGTATTTATTTATTTCCGTATTTATTCATGTATTCCTGTATTTATTCATATATTTATTTATTCCTGTATTTATTCATACATTTATTTACACATTTATTTATACTTATGTCATGTTCTGTCCTCCATACCGTCCTCCATATTGCTAAACCGGAAAACCGTGAATGCACCGGTAAGTCTTTATAACACCTGTGTAGAAAAATATAATAACATTACAAAAATAACATAAATGTTTCCTCCCCGTCGGGGAATTGAACCCCGGTCTCCCGCGTGACAGGCGGGGATACTGACCACTATACTAACGAGGAAGGGATGAGATCCACTCAGTGCACTTCCCATTTTATACAATTCGGCACTGTATCATTAGTTAAATAATAAAGTGCATTCATCAGAATGTGTTCTCATTTCAGCCCGCCATGCATAAAAGAATGTGTTGCATTGGCCGGGAATCGAACCCGGGCCTCCCGCGTGGCAGGCGAGAATTCTACCACTGAACCACCAATGCATAAAAAGTTTCAAAATAAAAGCCTTTAAAAATGAAACCGTGAAGATAGCTTGAGTTCTGAAAAAAATTCCTTGGGAAGGTTGATGAAATCAAATAGAAAGCAGACAATTCTACTCTTACATGCACCAACAGCCTGATTATAGAAAAAAGTGTTACCTTGGTCTGGTGGAGTTTCCTCTCGCACCAATTTCTTCTTGGAGCGTGGAGTAACGGGGAGAGGGGTTGGCACAACCTGGCACAAGAAAAACAAACAAAAATAAACAAATATTTGATTGATATCCCATATTTCAGATACTGCATACATTCCTGCTGTCGCCCTCTAGTGGTTGCAGATGTAATTTATTACAGAAATAGAAACAGGCTTCATCAAGAAAAATTGTTTTAGGTAGACATCAGCAAAATTAGGCAAAAACATCAACCACACAAAATTGAAAAAACTATTAAACTAAAGAAATGCTAAATCATGGGTTGGCTAAGTAGCTGTTGCATGAGGTCAATTTAGACTAAAAAACGGCTGAGACTCATCGAAATATTGCCAATGAACACAGAATGTGTTTTACAGGTAAATAATTATTAGTAACATCGTTTTCCTCAAGGCAAAACAAATAAATATTGCACATAGACAGCTGCCCCGTTAATTCTCCAACCCTCCTGCAGGTGCCACGTGTCTGAGTGAGTTGGCTGGCCCACTTTAGAGTAAAAAACATCGTGAATACTTTAAAATGTTCAACATGCGATGCAATGCAGTAATATCAGGGTAAAGCCACTTGAACACATTATCAAATCTAAAAAACACATTTGAATGATGAAAAAATTGAAGACACGCAGAATTACGTCAATGGGTCGGCTAATTAGCTGCTGTGTAGTAGACTACCAACTACCACCAAAAAACATATAATACTCGACGAAATCTTAACAATTAACTTAGAATTATAACAGGAAATATCTTTAAAATGTTAATAAGCTGACAGTTTCCTCAGTGCAAAACAACCAAAATGAAGCGTAAATGGAGAGCCTCTTAATTGTCGACCAGCACTGCAGGCGCCACGATGTGTTAGCGACCTAGCTGCCTGGCACTTTTTACACTTCAAAAACATCGTGCAGATAACTAAAAACTAGCAAAAGGTGATTCAATACTATCATATGATGAGGCAAAAACTATTATTTCTGTTAAAACACATTACCCTGCCACAAAAATAATGAATTATGAACAAAATGGAGGAAGGCTGAAACACGGCATTGGGTCCGCTAACTAGCTGTGGCGTCATACGAATTAACAACCAAACACGTTTAAAACTCGACGAAATCTTAAAATTATACTTAGAATTACGACAGAAACATGACGTGCATATAACTAGCAACAGGTGATTCACTACAGTCATGAGGCAAAAGCTATTTTGTGTTAAACACATAAACCAACAAAAAAAAAAACACTTGAACTATGTACAACCTGGATGAAGGCAGAAAGACGGCAGGCTAATTAGCTGTGGCGTCATACCAATTTACAGCAAAATACGTTTAAAACTCGAAGAAATCTTAACAACGAACTTAATATTATTACAGAAAAGGCCTTTAGCAAGTAAATAACAGGTACTTACATAGTTTCCTCAATGCAAACAACCAAGAAAAAAGCACATGAGAGCTGTCCTGTTAATTATCCACCATTACTGCAGGTATCAACGAGTGTCTGAGTGAAGGAGTATGCTTTCCGTTTCACTTCTGTTTTAGTCCACTAGATGGCACTGCTGTGCTTTGAAACACTTTTCTAACTACTCTAGTACATGATGAACATGTGTACACTTGGCAACATTTTAATGTACCAATCAATCTGAGGGTGAAGAAAAACACATATAACCAACACTGACTGATTCCTCAAATATGAACGTTTGCAGTTTCTCTAGAAGTTCTTTGAGTTGACTGTTAGTCAACAAAACAAGGCATGAATTTGCAACCTCGAACTTTGGAAAAGTGCAGTGGACACAAATAAAACGGCAAATGAAGGTTACAATGAACAACAAAAGTGTCAACAAAATCTAGAAATACATTTAAGAAATGTATGTCCTGTTTAATATCAACTTTCATGAATCTATTTAGGCATTTAATTATTTCTGAATAGTGAAACAATTCTTTTTATTTATTATATAATTATATGTATGTATGGTTACATGTATTTATGTGTTTATTCTTGTATTTATGCAATGATACTTAAGTATTTCTTCTTCCCCCATACCCGCCATCAAAGTCTCAACTAAATGTATTTAACTGGGGTTACAGTGTCAATTTTACTACCAATGAACAATGCCTTGTGTAAAGTGGCCCCTCAGCAGCATCCCCAGTGGACTGTTGTACATGGCACTGACTGAACTGTTTGTTGGTAGGTATACTGATATGTGTGTAAATGTGTACCTCTGCAGGCTCAGCACCCATCACAACAACAGTGGGTACACTGAAGAGTTCCATGTTGTCCAGGTAGTGCTGATGTTGTAGGCGCCATTTCAGACAGTCATAGATGAGATTGGCCACACCTTCAAAGATTTGGTTTCCAATCTCCAGCTGGACACACAGTCAAAATAAAGTCCCAGAAAATGTGATTATAAAACATTAAAAGCTAGAGACAGTACAAAAAAAAAAGACAGATAGAGAAGGCCTTGAAAATGATCAAAAAAATAATAGTGTTAAATATTCTACACAATGAAATCAACAAAAACATAATGAGTGATCGATTTCAAACCTTCTATATCTTGTAGGACCACAAATGACATGCCCACACTCACAATCCACACACAGACCTGTTACAGCAGGGGTACTCAAACTTTTTTGTTAAAGGTCCACTTGTGAATTTTATACAAGGTCAATGGTCCGGATCAATGTCAGTAAAGTCCCCCCCCCCGGAGCGGAGCAACAAAGTTTCAGCTCGCATGGGGACCTCGCATGGGTTTCCCAACATGTCGTTGCAGTAAATTAAAGGGTCTTTCATGTTCATGTTGAACTCACGCAGCGTCAGACAATAAAACCCTCTCTCTTTTCCTCCGTACCCAAATCTTTTTAAAAACAGGGGTACAACGAGCGGGTACAGATTTGCTGCCGATCTGACCTCAAATCGGCGGTGGACCCACACAAAGTTGCTATCAGAAACAATGCCTGACATGTTTTGGACGTAATCTCGTCTTTGTTTACATTAGCAAGCATCGCTAACACTCAGAGCTAACCTGTACTGGAGAGCAATTGTGTTTAAAAAGCAGGAAATAAAAAAAAGAACTAACCTTGTGATAAACCCGCAAGAGAAAAAGCATTTGAGCTCCATACTGTTTCCGAAAATGTAATCTTTGATGTGGTTTAGAACAGGATGGCGTTTTATCACAGCATAATTTAACTTTATCTCCGGTAGAATTCTGATCAGGCATTAGCTCCGCCTCCTCTTTTTATTTTTTTTAAAGCTAAGGACCCAAAATCCACATTTCTCTAACAGGGCTGCAAAAGAGGTGTTTGAGCAGTATGAGGCATGGCTGCAATGGGTGATCTGTTTGGTATGACATGTTTTGTATAGGTATGGCCCTACAATATATGTTTCCAATATAGCATAATAGGTCCACTTTAATTTACATCAGAATCAGAAATTTTTGTTTCATAATTTTATTTTATTTTTTTAAATAATGGGACACAGGGTTCGGTCCGGATTCGGACCTTGGTCCGGAGTTTGAGAAACCCTGCAGCATACAGTGCAATGGTAAAGAGCAGGCTTCATTGAGAAGATATTGAAACAGAAAGAAATTGTCAGGCCCAACTCACCTCAGCGTCAGGGTTCTGTGTGTGAGAACTGAGATCTGGAGCAGTGTAGCTAAGCTGAACCGCATCATGGAGCTTGGACTGGGGAGGCCCGCTGTCCAAAACTGGTCTCAGACCGGACCAGAATAAATCCAACTCTGCACGACCATGAACTTCTGCTGCAGGCATACACGAAAGAAGAGATATTTATGTTGATAACAACACATAATACATTGGAAAAATAAGATATAGAGTCCTGACTGCAAGGACATTTTGTATTGCAGATAATCAGCTCTATGGCGAACAAAAGTTATTTTACATACACATTCTGTTCAGCAAGATAATGACCATCCTTCATTTTATGATGAAGTCAAATGATTTGCCAGAAGTAAAAAACTAACATTATAGCTTGTAAACAAAACAGTATCATGATTCATTTATAGTCTTATATACTTGTAAAAGCACGTAAAAGTGCCTTATTAAGTGCTTACTGAATACCGAAGGCCCTTTACCTGAATCCAAAACTGGAGAAGTTGTCTGCTCATTGCCCCCAAAGGGACTTTCTTCCTGCTGCTCCTCAGAAGTTTGTGTGTGCTCCGAACACAATTTAATGACATTGGCTACATGAACACCTAAGGCATCAAGCGCTCCAATCAGGTGGGGCTGAAAGAAGCCGAGCAGCAGGATGTAGTGTTGAGGTCCATCCTCTGGCTCGTCATCTATGCCCAGACACACAAGTTAATTAATCATAAACACCTACAATTATATAGTGCAGACGTAGGTGATAGCCAAAGTCGTCTTGTGCATTGCAGTACTTTCTCACAATGTTAGCACAGACGTTCAAGGTTCAAGGCTTTTATTAGTCATATGTACATTATATGACTACAGTGTAGTTATGACGATGAAAATCTTAGGTCCCAGGCTACTCCAACAGTGCAACACAATAAAACAGATGTGGTTGAAATTTGAATTTGTACCTATATACTTTGGTGGCTCAACATCATCCCTGCGTTTTAGCTTTGTCTTCTTCTCCTTAGAGGGTCCCACAGGTGAGGGTGGGCCCTTCCCCTTTTTGTCAGTGACTTTAGCCCCTCCTTTGTCCTTGTTGACAGAGGGAGGATCAACGTTTGCCTTCTCCTCCTCAGCCTTCAAAATATGCGGAAAAATCCAATTGATTCTTCCTCTATAGTCTGTATAACATTGATTAAAAAAAGTCACTCCAATTGTATTAATATCTCCTGATTTGTTCCTCACCTGCTCGGCTTCCCTCCTCTGCTGATCATTGGCTTTGATTTGTAGCAGCTGGAACTTCAGTATATTAGCCATCAGGTCACAAGGAATCTCATCTCCTGCATCCAGGAGTACCTTCGCTGGCTCTGTAACCTACTCAAGACACACAGGAGGAATTAAGCACACAAAAACCCAATCAGAAGACACTGACTGACTGAAACAAAACACATTAAAAATCTTTATTCCAAAGCCCACCTCATAAAACATGGGGGCTTCATCAGGTCGTTTTGCTTTGGGATTCCCCAGTTCATGGATCTGTAAAACGTTTGGAAAGGAATGAAATCTCATTTGACGAAATACAAGGTATTAAGAGTTAATGACTGCAGAGTTCTACAAAAATACAATATACATAGTTTCTGGAACTTGATCTGAAATAAAACTACCTTTGCAACGGTGCTTTCCCAGGTCAGCAAGCTGAAAAGTTTGCGCTGTGGTTTCTGTGCAGCCACAGACAAAGCCTGGGTCAGCTTCTCCTCCTCTGGACTTCTCCCGACCACCAGAGACACACAGGCTTGCCATGACTCCTGGAAATAGTATTGAAGAAAAACAAGAAAATTAAGAAATACATCATCCAAATAAAAAACCACACTGTGTCACTGATTTCACATCATCCTGCTCCTTAATTAACAAGGTTCAAAGATGCTGCACATCACATTACTTTGACAAAAAAAGCTAAATCTTGTGAGAGGATTTTTTCCCCTCCCAACTTTATTTGATTGAATTCATTCATTACATTCATAATTACATATGTCCGTCTTTCATGAAAAAAATCCAGTGAATACATTTCATGGTTTAAAAATAATAAAAGGATCAAATAACTTGAAGAAGAAATATAAAAAAACAAAAAGGGCACTTCCGGTCTTACCCTCAAAGTAAAAGCTTACATGTTTATATTTTGTGCATTTTCTTATAGGCTACGTCTTATTCAGGTGACAAATGTCGCAGGAAGTTTGTTTGTTTGTTTGTTTGTCTACACAATTTTCACCAAATAACCTAATTACCTTGTTAACGTTACTTAAAGTGTATCAAGGAGCAAATTGCAGGATATAAACCCAGTTTAAATCCCTTGTTCTACTTAAAATGAAACGCTATTAACATTAAACAATGTAACGTAAATGTTAGCTAGCTAGCTACTAAGGACCATGTAAAAGTTAGTTAACTACCGCGCGTAGCCAGCAAATTAGGACTCTAAAAGTTATAATATGTAATGAAAGATACCTTTACTGTACACACAAATAAACAGTAAGTTAAACAGAAAAAAGGAAGCGAGTGAAAAGAACAAACCTCTTCAAACGGAGCTCTGCTGAGACCAGCCTCCCAGTTCTTGCCGACAGCTGAGGCACCAGAAGCATTGGGCTTTTTGGCTGAGCCCTTCTTAACTGCTTTAGGTGGCATTTTCAATCAGTGACAATTATTGAAACTTGAAACAACGCAGAACATTAAAAAAAAATAGTCCTCAACCTACCAGGGCCCTTATCTAACTAAGCTTCCTAAAAACGGCAAGTTAGTTTATCGTTTAGCGTCGCCTGGTGCCTGTGTTGCCCGTGGCAACAGCAAGGACACCTGTCAAGTTGAGACATAAGGCCTACTTTTCCTGTAAACTTTCAAAACAAAAGCATGTGGGTTTCCTAATTGTTTGACAAAGCAATATCGAAGATGAACAACTCTATCTTTTTGGTAGTGAATATCCCTCAACAACAATTCAATAATAACATTGAAATAAATAACATGTGTTGTGGTTTATAAGTCAATTATTCTATTCATTGTATCCACTGGATGGCAGTGTTATCTCTATACGTTTATTTTTTAGCCATAATGATGCAACCATTATGGCTCAGGACATTTAACTAAAGCAAGGTTTTATACAAAGAGAGGGGGATTAAGAATGCCAATTAGATACAAACTAAAGTGAAATCAAATAAATACATTGATGAATGATAATGAAGAGTGAAGTGTCATGGCTACTACAATTCCTACACAATCTCAGGCAACAATTAATTGAGCTAAAGCAGGGGTGTCAAACTCAAATACACAGTGTGCCAAAATAAAAAAATGGGTACTAGCCGAGGGCCGGACTGGTTCAATGGTTATTGCAAAAAGTATTGAAATGAACTTATTGCACGTATTAAACCTAGAACTAACTTAGAACTTAAATTATTGCCTATAAAAACAACATTAAACATTAAATAATCAGTTGCATTCATTTCTTATGGCTCTATCGGCAGCTTTTCCGGAGTCATTTCTTATGATTACATGTTTCCACAGGCCAACAACAGCTTCAAAAAAAGTATTCCCTTCAAAGAAAAAACCAAACATGCCCTGTTGTCTCAAGAAAAAAAGTGCAGAAGGAAACATCCATTGCAACTCAATGTGCTGCTCTGTGATGCTAGTTCAAGCCAGATACTTGGCATCTNGTGTACATTGAAAACATAATACATTTTACAGCATAGGTAGACCAAATGTTTGGAAATGCCTGTGTCTATAATAAGAAGATGAATCCACGAGGATGTCAACAATCCTGTGGGAGCCATCAGGGAAGTAGTATGATGAGTCAGGCAGGACCGCAGAGATAGGTTCAGCCACGACTCGAAATCCAGGACTCAAGATGCAGGATCCAGGACCACAGCAACAGGCACAGCCACGACTCAGGATCCAGGACTAAGGACCACAGCTACAGGATCAGCCACGACTCAGGATCCCGGCGTAGATAGACACCAAAAAGAAATTTGGGGCAATATGTAGGCTACAATATATTTGGGGGTTTCCTTCTCCGATCGTGTGATCGTTCTTGTGCATGTAAATGGCCTGCAAAGGCTAAAATCCCGTTGTTCCCTTCAGATGGAGTTTCTCTCCCACACACTTGCTCTGTTGTTTTCTGGTATAGTTGACCAGAAAACAAGTTGTATCATTTTATACAGCATGTAAATACTCAGGTAAAGATGCATTTTTGTTTTTTACTTTATTTTCCAAGTTTCACTCAAAAAATGTCCAGGGTCAAGACAAATACTTTAAATTGTTTTAATAGGCCTATTACAGATAGGCCACAGATTTTTAACGGCTTGCATCAAATATAAACAAAACTACAAACAAATGATTTCATTAACTAAAGAGTGAGGGTCTTTTCAAGTAACACATAAGTCAAATAATGAAAAAGGGTTTCAGGGCTTTTTTATTTTTCATGTAATAACGTGATTTTGAAAAGTATTAAGATCTTAATATGTAGTCATTTTGGCTTACACTTTAGTTGTTTGCATTTATGGAAAAACATCCAATTATTTATCGGAAATTCAAATTAAAAGGTCAACGTGATGTGCTTTAACGATTTTTAGCTTATTGGTCGAAATTAACAAACTTTTAACGTGAAAGGGCTTCTTCTGACGACAGCGTGACGACATCACGTAATGTTTTTCTTAAACTGGTCGCACTTTCGACCCTTTTGATTAGCAATGTTTTTAATTTAATTTGGTAACACTGGTATAATAAATCACTAGTGCGAAACATGTGTTAAATGTACATGTTAATTTGTATTTGTTATTAAATATTTATACATTTGAGATTTTACGCGAAAGTAACACCGTCATTTAGATTTACGTTGATAGATAGCCAAGGAGCTAACATGTGAGTAGCTGCTTCTGTTGACTTGACAGCTACACCTCTTAACTCATGACAATAAAACAGCAAGTATTCAATGAAGAGAAAGGTTTAGAATAAACGGACGTTGATACGTTTTTTGTTTTCCTTTTTAACATATCCTGCTTCTGCAAAAAAAGCTAACATTGAAGCTAAAGTTAGCATGTCCTCTGTCAGCCACTGTCAACACTACAGGCTTCTGTAAAGTTTCAGAAGATCAGAAGAGCTGCAGCTTCAGTACATCATGTCTTCCTGCACAAGGTTGCTTTACTTTGTGAAGCACAGAACCTTGTGGACTCATGTTCGGAGAAATCTCACAACATGGTCTCCTGTTGGAGCTGCTTTCAATGCCAAACCTCAAAGAAGACCAAATCTGGTGGAGAAAAACGTGGTAAGTATTTGTTTTAATTTTCTTAAATGTGTCACTAAAGCATGTTACAACACTGCTTTGTTAAAGCACATAACCTGCATTTAAACGGGCTTAAATGTGTGTTAATAAGCCATATTGATTTTATAAAAGACCACATTCTATATATTTTATTTGTAAGAAGCCGCATTATTGATTGACTAAATTGCTGTTTATATTTGGGGGTATATTGGGTGCGGGAGGAGTCATTTTAAAGAATGTAATATTACATTTTAAACTGATTGTTTTGTATACTATCAAGTGAAAAATGCATGCATCTTAAGTACAAACACATTTAAATAGAGATGCTTCAGTTTGGATTAACAATGTCATGACATTCATGTAACTATTTATTATTGTTATTAGTGGCTGCTAGTTCACTCACTTTTATAATACTGCCACTTATTTATTTACCATGGTTGTGTACTCATTTTATTTAATTTCTTGGCTAAACATGTTAGTCTAGTGATTGTGATGTTTCCCTTTGCTGCTGTAACACTTTACATGTCTTGCTGTGGGACAGATAAAGGATTTCTGGTTCTGCTTTCAGGGTTTGTTTGGAGTGACTGAGCTCAGCTGTCCTGCAGGCTTTCAGGCGGCCACAGAGACGGCTCTGAGGAACACACGACGGCTGGTGGACAAAGTTATTTCTGGTCCTTCGGGTGTGGAGACAGTCGAGTCTTTTGATCAGCTCTCAGATGAGTTGTGTAAAGTGGCTGATCTGGTGAGTGCTCCTTCTCTCTGAGGACTACTGAAACTGTGCTGCTCTCCACAACTCAACTCGTGTACAGAGGGGGTGCATTGATGTCCTCTGATTTAGACACTTGTTAGCAACCGCCAATTCACCAGTGGGATATTTACTGACGTATTTTATGTTGCATTAAAAAAAAAGTAACATTTCTTCAGCTGGTGTTAACCACAGACCTTATGTCAGGCTAACAACCAAAAGCACATTCAGGAATCCATTGACTTCTAGACGAGGGAACAGGAAGTGCTCAAATGCTGACTCATATCTGGGTTTTAGGACTCATTCCTGGCCCGCTCTATGCCCCATGTTCCTTTCTCCACTCTGAGATCCTCACATGCTTCCCTCCTCGTTGTTCCAAGGTCCAAATGTGTTCTTAAAGGAGATAGGAGAGCCTTTGGAGTCAGGGCTCCTGGACTTTGGGAATACCTGCCAGATAAGATCAGCGCTGAAACCATATCTCCTCTTTGAATTGTCTTTGAAAACCCTGCTTTGTAAATATTATTTGTCAGTGTTTTTATTTATGACATTTAAGTTAATTTCTCCCTCAAGAGGGAACACAGGGATTTTAACCTTTTACAGACCATTTCCATTTCCATGCACAAAAACCTATATTACACTACAGTAAAGGAAAACCCCAAAAGCATAATAGGGCCCCTTTTTAAAGTGTTGGTTTAGCCTCTACATGCTTTAAACAAAGCTGTTATGATTCCTTTATACTCTCACTATGTGTCATGTGGTTCTTGGGTTACCTGCAGACCAACTTGCTTTTCTCTTCTCTCACAGGCAGACTTTGTTAAAGTAGCTCATCCAGACCCAGCGTTTCGCGAGGCTGCAGAGAAGAGCTGCATAGAGATCGGCACGGTGGTGGAGAAGTAAGACGAACCTTTCAAAAAGCAATCATGATGCATTTGTACAAATAAATGGAAGTATAAAGTAGAAATACTCAAATATAGCACACACATGTCATTTTGTAATTGTGTTTTTTTCAGACTGAACACTAATGTGGAGCTTTGTAATAGTCTTAAAAAATTGCTGGAGAACCCAGACACCGCGTCTCAGCTGGATCCTGACTCCAGGTAATTTCACTGCCATTTTGTTTAAAACATGGATTAAATAACAGTGTTTCTCTTTCTTTGTTACCACATCAATATGTAATGTTTATATCATATCTAATGATGTAAACAATGATTAATTTCTGTTTGTTTTTTCCAGACGAGTGGCAGAGTTGTTCATGTTCGATTTTGAAATCAGTGGGATTCATCTGGATGAGAAGCTGGTGAGATGGTTATAATAGATGGTTGTTATGTTTCCTAGGGGGAAAGGGAAGTAACAAAAGATGACATAACCAAAACCACTGTTTGTTCACAGTTACACCATACTAGACCATATAGCATTGGTGTAGTCATAGAAGAATATTTTCCATGGGACAGCGCATGTATTTTGATGTGGTAGCCAGCAGGTACATTCTGGTTGTTCATCTGGGAAAGAAACAGACACGTTGTGAATAAAACATAAAGACAGCATGTTTAAAAATGCCTCCACCCCCTGCTGTGTTTACTGAACTTGTTTTCTCCACAGAGGAAGGAGGCGGTGGCTCTTCATGTGAAGCTTCTGGATCTAAACAACGAGTTCCTGGTCAATTCTCACCAGCCCAACAGGATCGCCAGGTCTGCGATTCCCGAACATCTACACCTGCACTTTGCCAGTGAAGGAAGCTTCATCCAAGTGGGGGGATTACACGCTGACTCCCCCGATGACTTGGTATGTGCCTGAAATGATTTGGGAACATTTATACTTTTTGTTCAGCAGGTGGCGCCACTGCCATGTGTCAGATTTTAGGACTGGATGTAAGGGCAGGTCGAAGATGTGTAATATATACTCTGTCCTGACAACATATGATACGCCATGAGTTGTAAAATCCTGAATAAGCAGAGTAACTTACATGATCTGCATTTCTAATGACAAACGTCTGAATGTTGTGTCATGTTAGATGTTGCGGCTTCAGAATTGTAGGACAGCATTTTTCTCCTTTCCTTTCCTTTCCTTTCCTTAAGGATGGTCCAGTGTATCCTAAGCTAAAGAAGATTTCAAAGGAGGCATTGAAGCTCCTTTCCTATCATCTAGAGCACATGTGTCAAACTCAAGGCCCGGGGGCCAAATCAGGCCCTTGGTGGATTTAATTTCGGCCCGCAGGATAATTTTTTATTATTATTAGATCTGGCCCGCCGGTATATTGCACGCACACCTTCCCTCCATCCTGAGGGTCTCCTCAGCTCAGAGCCTGACCCCAAACATTGATGACCTTGCACCCAAGATGAGATGCCGAGTACCTGCCTTGAGCTAGCATCACAGAGCAGCACACTGAGTTTAATGGATGTTTCCTTCTGCACTTTGTTTCTTGCGACAACAGGGCATGTTTAGTTTTTTCTTTGAGGGAAATAGTTTTTTTGAAGCTGTTGTTGGCCTGTNGGCATCATTAACATTTTTATACTCAATTTTTTTTTTTTTATATTTACCTGCAAATATTACACATTAAATGTAACAAATGTTTGTTGCCGCTTTAATAAGAAATGTGTAATATTTGCAGGTAAATATAAAAAAAAAAAAATTGAGTATAAAAATGTTAATGATGCCTGGGCTGCTGCTTATGTGTTTATTAATATAAAACAATCCATTAAATGAGTTACGTGAGGTATCCCCTGTTGTCCTGCAGCCTTTAGACAGACTTTAAAAACCAGCCAAAGAACTTAAAAATATCCTCATGTGAAATAATATGTTGTGAACAAAAAGCAGATATGACTCACAGCATTACGTGGGTTGAGTTTCTTCTTCATGTTACTCATCATCTTGAAGTCTTTGGCTGTCCTGTGAGAGATTAAAGGAAAAAACAACAAGTCGTGAGCTAATTGACTCGAGGCTTCATTCCAGTACCCACCTATCTCCACTCAGGGTCAACGGGGGGTCAGAGCTTATCCCAGCATGCATTTGGCTGAAGGCGGGGAAACACCCTGGACATTCATTTATCCTGTGGGTAATTTAGAGGCTCAGGTGCACCTGACTCACAAGTCTTTGGTCTGTTTAACGACTCCAGATGTTAGAAACCAGAGGAGGGAATGTGACAAAAAACTGATTTACTGATAATATTTATTAAACTAACTGAATTTGTGTCAGGTTTTGTTACATTTACGACTGGATTCTAATTTAAGGGGCCCCATTCTGGTCATTTTTAGGTTCATATTAGTATTTTGTGTCTCCACTGTGACATGTCTCCTTGCTTTAATGTTCAAAAAGCTCTTTATTTCTCTCATACTGCCTGTGCTGCAGCACCTCTTTTCACCCTCTGTCTGAAACCAGAGTCCAGTCTGCTCTGATTGGTTAGCTGGCCGGCTCTGTTGTGTTTTGTCAAACGCTTTGAGATGTCCCGCTCCTTAGCCTATCACTTACAATGTGTTGGAGCGCTAGCCAATAGGAGCGAGCCTTTGCGGACCATTTACAAGCACAATTGAACACACTACAGGAAAGGGAAACCCCCCCCAAAGCACAACATGGCCTCTTTAATGATGCATTTATGTAAAAACAATTACAATTCTGCAGCTGTCACAGGTGAAGGTAACTTAAATCATATTTTATACTTCCAGGAATCCTTCACACTAACTCATCTTGTCAAATAAATGTAGTGATTTAAAAGAACAACTACCTCAAAATTGTACAAACGCTTTTAAGTTATTTTCCATCACTGGCTCAGAAAAATAACAAATATTGAGAATTTCTTTCACAACTATTAAGAAAAAATATCAAACTGAATAATTTATCTGAATATTTCTTTATGATTTATTAAAATGAGACCGTACTTGTCTGACAGCTTGTCGGTTAACAACTGAAGGAAGCTCATCACCGTCTCTGCAAAGGGAAACAAAAAGGAATAAACAGCCTGTAACTAAAATCACAAAAAGAGCAAAAATAATGTCTATCTTATATTAATCTGTGTCTTTTAAAAATGGTTTCATGTCAATACTGAAATAATATTTGCAGTCACGGCACTGACTGAAAGATACTGTATTGATGCTGAAGCAGAGAGAGGTATAAACCTGGTGTTTTGGCCATGGTTCCCTTCAGGGCTCGGTGAGCGTACGACTCGTAGCCCACCAGTTTGGCCATTTTGTATCTGCACTTCAGCAGCTCCTCCAGACACTTCATCAGATCTGCGTTAGGATACAGGTAAATCCTGTAGGCGATTTCTCGAACCTGCAAGTGGAACCAGGACAGAACAAAATCCATGATATTAAAGAATATTTAATGAATGGGCCCTCGTTATCCCACGCACATCTTGCACCACTTCCTGTGTCCACTATGTGGTGCTAGAAAACACACGTTTACATTATACTGCTCCACATCATGTGAGGAACAAGGGGTCGAATTCTCAATTTCTCTCAGGAAGGTTCCTAACTAAGTTAAATGACTCAGAGGTTTCTAAGTGTCGGCCATGATAGGAGCTGTTTGAATTCTCAAGATCAGGGGTGTCAAACTCAAATACACAGTGGGCCAACATTCAAAAAATCGGTACCAGTCGAGGGCCGGATTGGTTCAATGTTTATTGCAAAACTTATTGAAATGAACTTATTGCACATATTAAACCTGGAACTAACAAAGCTTAAATGATAGCATATAAAAACAACATTAAACATTAAATAATCAGTTGCATTCATTTCTTATGGCTCTATCTGCAGCTTTCCGGAGTCATTTCTTAGGATCACATTTTTCCANCTGTCCGTCCCGGGAGAGGGATCCCTCCTCTGTTGCTCTCCCTGAGGTTTCTCCCATTTTCCCCTTTAAACTCTGGGGTTTTCTCTGGAAGTTTTTCCTTGTATGATGTGAGGGTCTAAGGACAGAGGGCGTCGTA